AAAAAAAAGTTGTCAACATACGCTTGCCAGGATTAGACGCGGCATACCTAGTTTTCAAGCAGAAGTGGAGTATCTATGTCAGAAACTCAGACAACTTTAAGGAAAATCATCAAAAGTGAGTCTAGAATATGCTTCTTAAAAGGAGCAAAATGTTCATTTTAGAAAGAGTGATGAGAAAAAGTCTGGGTCAGGAGTGCTTTGTAAAATAAACAAGGTTCCTATTTACTTACTATGTATAAACAACCACTCACCAAGCTGTATGTCTCCGCAGGGGCACCCTTTCAGATAAAAACGTGGACCTGATTGGCATCATCCTGTATCCATGGAAACGTTGTAAGTACCTCTCTCAATATGTACTTCTCTTATTCAGGGTTTAAAAGCCGAGTACTGAATAAGTAAGTGTTTTTATTTAATAATTATACAGGAGGTACTTTGTGGAAGCTTGGTAAGAGGAACAGGTTCTTGGGTTTTGTATCTGTCATAATAAAGCCCTTCATGGTTTCATCATATTTGATAAAATCATGTATTTCATTTCAAGTGTCCCGTCAGCTCTCGTTCTTAGATAAAAACGACATTCAAAGTCCTAATGAATGAGAACTCTGAACTTTTTGATGATCCATTACTGTCTGAAAAATAATGATCATGGTTCATGTTCCCTTCAGACTTAGGCACTGCTTTAATTGCAATAAACTAGACTGTTTTGAACATGAAAAAGAATAGTAGAAAAAATTGTTCATAAGAAAACAGACTATTTTCTTTTGAAAACAGGTATAGCCACCCATATGGCTATTTAGTAGGTCACAGAAATTAGCAGTTTAGCAATCAGCTTGAAATCTAACCAAAAGACTGAAATTACAGATGTTTTAGCATAGAAATAAGTCAAATGGAAAATAACAATTTTCCTGTTAAGATGTGCCTGCCTCACTACTTGGTTAAAAAAAAAAAAAAAAAATCAAGCCAAAGAACCAGCAGAAATAAGGGATTTTCTATCTCCATATTCCCGTGCAGAGAAAGGAGCATAGATGCAAACTACATTTATTTTCACAATAATAATCCTGAAGATGATCTACTGAAGATGAACAAAATGTATTTATTTGAAAATACAAATTTTCAAAATTGTTTAGGAATTCAGCCTATAATCTAGTACAAATAATGCTCACTTTTAATATAGCTTGATTTACAAGGTATGAATATAAGTGAGTACTGTTCATTATCCTTAGTTAAAGTTCTATAGGTTTTTTTAAAAAAAATAAAAAATCCTACCTTCATTTTGTTGATGGAAAATGTATTTTCTCTACCTGGGCCAGGTTATAGCACTAAAATGTTTTGTTAATTACAACCATTATCACAAAAACACATTTCTGTCTAGAAAGACCCAGTAGTTCTCATTGAAATCCAACTGGTTTAGAGTTTTGCTTTGCTAGGTTTATATCTCTGCATATTATTTTCATTTACTTCTGTTATTGTTTTTATTTGCCACCTTGTCTCAACAGCCCAGGCCCTGCTGTGTGCAGATGGCACAAATGATCTCTCCACTGATTAGGCTGGAACAGCATTTGCAGACACGGCGTGTAAAACTTCACTAACTAATCAAAATTGTTACCTTTTCACATACTAGGTTCTCCCTATCAGTCTTACACATCTATTTGTGTTTGTGTATACAAATGTGTCAAGGTTTTATTTAAGTTCTGTGATTTTGGTGTGGGCTGATTGAACCTGTTTGACTTTCTGTGAAAGCTTCAGTGGGTAATCTGCCTGTGGGCTGGCCCATTTGTCCTGCAGATACTGCTGTGGATTGCCACATGAGACCTAGGATTGGGATTGCTCTCAAGAACATTTACTCTGAGCCAACTAAGCATATCAGAGAGGTGAAACTTCCAGCCTCCAGGGAAGGATGCAGCACACATGAAAATTTTGTACATTTTCCTTCTATCATGTGCTTGTCCTTGCCACAAGGTCAAGGTTGCTGAGGTACTTACTGGGAAGTAGAATGAGACACTAGTCCCAGCTCAGCCCTCTGTGAATTCAGCCTGACAGACAAGGAAGCCCTGACCTTGTTCATCACCCTGAACAAATAAACTTTCAGTTATGTACTTAAATGGGGGATTGCTCAGGTGCACTGCAAAATGCACTGAACACATGCTGGGCTTGATCCTGCCACACTGAAATCAGGGGAAAGAAGATTTGCCCTTTCAGGGGAAAGAAGATTTGCCCTTTCATTACTATGCAGTGGGCAAAAATCTGTCTTCCCAGCCACAGATCTTGGGAAAGAAGGGGATGAGGAAAAAAAGATAATGGTATCATTTGGGCATATAAATCTTCATCAAAGTAATATATTCTCAGCTTTATGATTTTTAGCTTTTTAATCCAAGATGTCTTTTTTTCTAGCATTTGTTAAAGAATCACTTCCAAAATGCTAGAAAGTCAGCCTGAGCATATTGCAGATAAAATCTGTCTCCCTTCTCCATCACGTAAAATAGAGATAAAACATTTGGCCTAAATTCAGTTTTTCAGGTGCTAAAAAGCTATGACAAAACTGCACAGATCGTATGATAATGGGCATATTATACAACTCTAGATCATCATATGCCCAACTTATTATTACTATTTTAGTTTGCTATAGACCACTTTTATAGCACTGACAACACAGCACTTAACAAACATGAAAGCTCATAGCATACTTTTTGAATTACAGGTTAAATAGGGCAATACAAATAAGTGGGGGAGAAAAGGTGGAAAACATTTTAGAGTAGGAAAAAGGTACAGGGAGTATGTGGAGAGAAAAGAGGGCTGAGTTTGAAGGTTTTTAAGGATCAGAGGCAGACTAAAATGTGGGCAAGGAATTCTCCAAGTAGCACCTCTTGCTATTTTGGAGCCATCAGAGAGAAAATGGGCCCAAAATTATGCCGCTTCCAGGCTTAAAACAAACATAGCTGAAAAGGACTGGATGAGAAGCCTGGCTGACTTAAAAGTAGCTGCACTTGAAGAACTTTTGCACAATTATGATGTCTCTTATTTGTGGACTGAGCTTAAAAAGAGCCAAAGGTAGGGGGTGAGAAAGCTGGGAGTATGGAATCTGCTTCCATTAGCAGAAGCAGACAGTTGCTTGCAGGGAAATACAGAGTTACAGTAGCAATATGATAGAATATGAAATCCCTAATTCATAAATGCACTCATGTATGTGCATAACTTCAAACATGTATGTTTAGTGCTGGGCTTGAGGTGGCACATGTCCTTCCCTATATCCGTGTGTAGCCTCCTAAAGCAGGAAGAATGGAAACCTAGATTTGGCAAGCAAAAAAGTAGACAATGTTATGTAGGTTTTCCAAAAACCTAAGAGCGGGAATTCTGCTTTTGAAGAGAAAGAAAAAAATGAAGAGATATCTAGACAGTGGAAGAAGTATGGCTGGAAGAAAATAACTTTCGTAGCAACATTGTGAACAGATATGAGAGGAAGGTGTTGTGCAAGGTTAGGATAGTTAAGGTGAGATGTCTGTCCATTTAAGTGGATGTTGGCAGTGATTGGGGAGGCAACTTTCAGGGATGTTAAAAAAGGAAAGAAGACCATTTAGGAAACTAGCTGCAAGCATAAAGGATATAAAGTTCAGAAATATCTAGGTCCATAAATGAGGAAAGAGAATGGAGTAGTTAATACAGACTGAGGAAGGAGGTAGGGAAGGATTGAGAAGGAAAAGACAGTGTTTATGTGGGAAGAATTTTGTTTGAGGCAGTGAGTGGTAGCCAAAGGGAGGTGCATGCAATATTGCAGAAATGGAAAGAGTCAGATTTGGCATAAAAGCAGCTGAAGGCATGTAAGAAGATAATTTCTCAGCGTGGGGAAAAGATAGGCATTTGGGATACACTTCTCTACTTTGAACGTCCTAAAAAGGAAGGAACTTTTCAAAAAGGAAAATTTAAACCAATGACAGGGAAGGTTAGACAGAGATGCATAGGAAAAAAAATTTAATCTTGCAGTGAGTTGCCAGTTCTACTGAAATACTGTGCTGAAAAAAGCTGTATACATTTGTATACATGCACATTAAATCCTCCCATTTCTTGATTTTCTTTAAAAGAAACTATATGAAGAAGTTAGTAATCTAGGCAGAAGTAGTAATTTCTGACACATACAAGAATATTAGGTAGGCAATGTGCTTATATAATATGCAAAGCATAAAGGCAGGAAGGGAAGAGGTGACATGGTAGGGCCCAAACTTAACCTGTCATGCACAGTATCCTCTGTGCAGTTCAGTGCAGTATACAGCACTGCCTCTGTCACATAAAGTTCACATATAAACATTAGATGACAGACTGACTCAATAAGGCAGCCTGTTCCTGGAACTATGAACACATAACTCACAATCACCTTTGTTTTATCAGATTCTGAGGAGGAGAAAAAAAAGTGGTTCTGTAGGAACTCAGGTACGTACCTGGCATTAATTTAAATGCTCTCCAGGACAGTATCAATAGAGAACTTTCCCAGTAATGTTTACAGCAGAACAGTTGTACTGATTATAACCTATTTTAAAGTAATAATAAATTAATAGTAACCTTCCCTTCTAAAGTATGATTTATTATAAACTGATCTGCTGTTTTCTATAACTGTTTTACATATTAATTGCCAGTATAGTTGCCCAAGAATTAAAATATAAATATGATAGGAAATGATTCATGAATAGAGTGTATCTAAAAGCAAAAACAACAAAAAAACCCAAAATGTTAAAAGCTCTTAGAACTAAACCATAGTGCAGATCAGCAATATGGTATATTGTCAAATTAATTATTTGAAAAGGAATATTTAGAATAAACATTGGAAAGGCTCAGTGGAATAAAATGTTTCACTTAACATTCCCAGCGTCATTAAAAAAAAAATAACTCCTGTACTTGCAAACTATTTTCATATTTTGCTATTGTCTCCTAAACTCCTGTAAGCTCCAGTTTTATAAATATGTTCCATTCAATATATAAAAGATCTGTTTTACATCCATCCTGATATTCCAACAAAAGGTGCTTATCAGTAAACAAGTAAATGGACCTCCTGCTTGTTTTAAGTATGACTATTCATATAATATGAAAGGACAATTCGAAAAATATTATTTTAAGTGGACTGGTACCACAGCCATACATAATGTTGCCTGACATTTCTAATTGAGATTTTTAAGTTGTTTGTAAGTTGCCAGAATTCAACCATTAAGCTGGAAAGTTTTCCTTTTGAGATAGGTGCCTTATCCCAAATTTTCTAGAATGGTTCAGCAATCACTTGAAATTAACAGTAGAAGTATTCTAGTTTACATACATTAAAAATGTGTAATAGTTTGAGAATAGCTGAGAATCTC